CCCCAAAACCCCAAAACCCCAAAACCCCATTAAAGCAGTTTAATTAAAAATAGTAGAAATCGTACAAAATAAGTTATTAATAGATTTAAATTGAGAGCAATAATTTATTGAAATAATTTAAGATGTAAGTATTGTTAGCAGGTAAATCAACACAGAACCGAAACGGTGTAACCACAATTCATTTCTTGCTTAATCTCACTTTAGTTGAATGGAGCTAATCTATCATTCTTCAAAAATTTTATGTTTAGTTTTGATCTCTTTGGAAGAGCCCCAGTACTAACTCTGAAGGGAGATGAATAGTCTAAGTCAATAGTAGGATCAATCGTTAGTCTTGCTGTCTATGTCATTTTCTTTCTTTACACTTACTAGAAATCAGTCATTCTTATTAAAAACCTTGAACCAAATATTCAAATATCAGAAACACTTAGAGACATGGATGATTTGACTACCTTTGAGCCTAAATCAGCTGGATTCGACTTTGCATTTTCTCTCAAGAGAGAGCTTGATCCTGCAATAGCATACTTTGATGTCAAGTTGATTCGCGAATTTTATCTGAGTAACGGGACTAAATTAAATGAAACAAAAAACCTTGAGATATAAAGATGCACAAACGGATAGTTCTAATTTGATAATAAGACTTAGCTGACTGCAATCCAGCTTGAGAAATATTACTATTGTTTGAACAATTCTCTAAACTATTAATCGGTGGTAATCAGCTCAGTCCAGAATATACCTACTTACAAATAAAATTAATGAAATGTCAAAATGGAGCAACCTTACCAGGTTCATATCCTTTACCTTTTGCAAGCAAAAGATAACTGTAGAGCTTGCCAATTTTACCTTAAAAACCAGATCTAAGTAGTCTAAAATGTGGACTATCCTCTGTTTTGGATTCAGTTATTAACAATCAGAAATTCTACTTTGTATTTGCCAATAGTAATTTTGCACCATAGAATTTGAAAGAGCCTATTAATAAATTCTTGGATGATTCAGTTTTCTTCGAGATGGAACCTGGAAAGAACAAGAAAGCTGATATACTAGTAAAATAGTAAACAGTTGAGCTACTCGACGATATTTGGTAGATTGATAACCCAATTGAGAAAGAATTTGCACAAGTAGACAACATTAGATTTTATGAAAGTTCTACATCATCAGGAGACAATAGTTTGATAACTGTCAATATTAAACTGGACAAAGCTTAAGCAACAATGAGTAGAACTGCCTACTCAATATTGAATTTCCTAGGAGATATTGGGGGTCTTCAAGGAATTCTTTACCTCATTGGATTTTACTTATGTAGCTCGATATCTGAGTAAGTCTATTATAAAAAGATTATCTAAGAGACTATTTAAGTTCGTGATAAAAGGTTCAGAAGTGTATTTAAGCGACCTAAAATTAGTAATGATGCAGATGCTGTTTAAAATTTAGACAATAAAAAAACAATGAAGCCTATAAATTTACCTAGAGATACTGAAAAGTAAACTCTTAAGATACCAAAACCAACTATTTCTTTACAGAGTTCAAGAAAAAATTATTAAACTGAAAATCTTGATTAATACAATTCAAATCTTTCAATTGGGGGTGGAGAATTAAATAACTAGCACGAATAGGACTATGATCCTTATTCTGAGGATCCTTATAAACAATAAAATCAAAGAAATATGTTCAAAAAGCTTAGAATGAATCTGAATGTTTTTAACTATTATTCAGATGTAATTGTTAAAGCTGTACTCAAAAGATATAGATTCACATATGGAGTAGATGCTATTTTTGGTATTGTAAGCAAGGTAAATTGCATAGTTAGAAATTTATGCTGTTGCTGCTGCTGGAGGTAAAAACGGGAAATTAAATTAATAACGAAGTCTGTTGATAAGGTTAATAATGAACTCTGTGTAATAAATTTGTTAAATACATTATCAAAGGTCAAAATTATGGAAAAGCTGTTGTTTAATAAGTATCAAAGAAACTTGATTAAGTATTAATAAGAATGGCTTGTTTCAAGTGCTTCAGAAAAGGAGCAAGATCATCAGGATGATCTTTTGTTTTTAAAAGAGAGAAGTAATAAGAAAAAATTGGCATTCAGAAGGTAAATCATAAATGATAATTTGAATGGTTACTAAAGCAAGGGCAATCTATCTGTTATTGATAAAAAACTAGTCTATGGATTATTTAAAAATGATATGAGGGATTTTGATGGTAGTAATTCCTCTAATGATGAGGACTTAAAGAGCTAAAGAAGCTAACGTACATCTAGAGAATAGCCATAAGCCCAATCAACTCATCAAGCACATCATGTGAGATAGAAAATAAGTTCTATTGATACAGTTATAGTCCATGATTCAATTCATCCTTTAGAGAGATTTGATTTAAGCGAGCATGACCACATCTAGAATTCAAAGAGATCTTCTGCTTTTGGACAGTAGATTATTTACTCTTGAAAGAGAATATATATTTTTAGATTAAAAAATAAATTTTACTTTGTAGATTATTGATTATTTGATGGGGTTTTGGGGTTTTGGGGTTTTGGGG